GGATGATCTTCTTTTGCGCTTCTCCATCTATACAACCGCTGTGACCCTCCTTACTGCTGACACTATGCCTTCTATCTTCTGGCCATGTTTTGTTGTCAGTGGTACTCATGCATATGGACTGATCGGCGTAGATTTTTGCAAGTGCTAGTGTGCCAATTCTGGGAGGTCTGCCAGCCGGCATACAGCATGCGTGCTTTCACTGCAGGGGACAAAACGGAAATGACAAGGCAATCGCCATTCTGTCAGCATTGCCATGGTAGCACAGGCACGGCTGTTTATCCCAAGGTTAATGGGATGACGCCTGGAACTGAAAGTGCCAGATTGAGAGAAACATGTGCCTGTTTTACTTAAAAACAAGTAGATAGCAGAGAGCAGAGTCACATCACACAGAGCTAAGCCCGGAACAGCTCGGATTAACAAAAATGAGCAAAGAATGTTATAGGCCTCACCCATCTTACTTCTAGCGAAGATTGTAAGTAGCCCGATGAAGGCTTGATTACATAAAATCCATATTTAGAGGTGATGTTTTAGCAGTAAACCTGCATTTTAACCCATCAAAAAAAAGTCGGCATATAGACATTTTAGCATTAAACCTGCAGGAATAAAAATAGTTTTACCTTGGTGAAGCTTTTTCAGCATGTTTTGAGCTGATTGCTGTTCGGCTATTTATTCTTTCTTGTCAGAGGTTTTGTTTGCTGCTGTGTGCATTGAATTTTCTGAACCAAGATTACACCTTATAATAACCTATAATCATTAGTTAATTGTTAAGCAGTTATTGCATACAATATGCCCCTAAGAATGCAGTGTGTTGCAAATCCCTCAAAGACACCAAACTGCATAAATGACCTACTTGTCACTCATCACCATCTCTTTTCTTGCAAAGAATTAGAAATAGCTGACCAAATAAATTTTTTATTGATGATTTAGCTTCTACTTCCTTTCTTTCTTTTTCTTTTCTTTTTTTTTTTTTTTTTTTTTACCATATGATCACATTTGTGAGCTTTTGTTTTGATACCACTGGGTATTTATTAATTTAGTATCTGCGCAGCATCTGAGCAGCATCGAGCTTATTCTGTAGAACTGAAGAACTTGATATTTCTAACTTGCAACTGGTCTTGAAAAGTCACACAACCATGCTTCTAATCACGCCTGCAGTTACCAGCTGAACTGCCATTTAGTTTCATTCTTTCCCCCTTCTTGAATCCCACGGCGAACTGTAAATGTGAGCGGTGATTCATAGCATTTGAACCATGCTGTGATTTTCCGTTTAAGCTGGAGATATTCCTGAGATAGGAGCTTTTACATAAGCGCAAGTCATTTATTTTTGTTTGTCAAATATATGCTCATAAAATCCAGCATACTCATTGAACTACCTGACGGCACAAAAGATTTTCAGTAGAATAAATGTGACATGTAGCATATTGCAGGAGCTCTTCTCACAGAGCCACGTACTCAGTGTAGTTGAAAATACCTATAGTGTGTAATGTTTCAGATAAATCATTTCACCGCATTTTGGAACCAGTACCTTTTTTTTTAATTTCTTCACCTCAGCCTTATAGAGAGGCAAGGCTGCAATGAGAAAGGCTTAACCGCTAGGATTATAGTCATTCTGATGGATGGTGATGAGACAGATTAATCGACTGCTGTGTAACCCACACTTATCTGATTTTAGCGCTGCTCCTCCCTTTCTCTTCTTGAAAGACTGAATTATTTCTCTTGCAGTAAATGGGATGTAATGTTTGTTTCACTGGAAAATTAGCAAAAGATTACACAGTTTTACACTTCAAATGAAGGAAATCTGTGAAACAACAGTCAATCCAAATGTGCTAGTTTAATAACATTTACATCTGAACTTTGACTGAATATCATATTGCTTACCAACAATAATTCAAAGTTGTTTTTATATTCTGTGACTTACTCATTTTGAAATATGTTATCAAGGTCGGTGAAGCCTTGTGGATCTCAGCAGCATCTGAAATTTGTTGTGGTTTGAAACGATTCACTAAAGGGGGAGAACGGGAAAGCAAGAGAATGAGGGTTGAAATTGCCCACTGCAGAAACAGAGCAGTTTTTAGGGTGATGGATTTTTTTATTTAATTTTTTTTTATCTGTAGCTTTGCTAGCCCCCATAGCTCGCTTTGTCAGTTAGGGAAATGGTAAGCATTCAGAGCAGTTGGAGACATTTCAGACCGCTCTGCCAAAGAAAACATACATTTTCTGCAAACACAAATGAGACTGAAGCAAGTCGTAGCCAACTGTACGACTACCTCAAATGTGTACTTGTGTAATTGTGTGTGTAATGTGTAATTTTATCAGCAACATTGGTAACCAAACAAATTTTCAATCTGAAAACCATTTATAATTACACCTCTGCAGACAACCACAGTTAATTCTAAAATCAAACAGCCAAGATGTGATTGAACTGTAGATTTTCAGCTTTAACTTAGGAGGTTTAAACAAAATATTGCTGTAACTATTTAGAAATTGCACGGTACAATTTTCATACATTTCCATTTCCGGCAGCTTAAATGGACAAAATTACACATTTTAAATGTAGGAATTGTTTTAATACTTGAATGAAAATTCTTAGCTTTCAGTGACTGACATCTAGAACCTCCTTGAGATGCTCTGTCAGGCTTTCACTGCAGTCACCTTCAGTCGATGGTTGTTTGAACATCTCTCTGCCTTCAACTTGTCTTCACTAACTGAAAAGCGAGCTCTGTTGGGTTGACTTGGCTGCTGAAGAATATCATGACTTTTTTTATGCACAGAGAAGCTCTTGGGTTGGTTTTGCAGTGTCCTTTGGGTCTTATCCATTTACCCCGTGAAGCTCTGTCCAATCAGTTTTTGTAGCTTTTGGATGAATCTGAGCAGAGAGCATAGCCCTGTACACTTCAGAATTCATCCTTCTACTTCTGTTAACAGACTGGTTTTGTTGGCAGTCATGCATGCCAGTGCCATAACATTGCCTCCAATATGATTGACAGATTGATGTGTTATGCTTTCAATCATGAGCTGTTCCTTTCCTTCTCCATTCTTTTCTCTTCCTATCATTCTGACAGAAGCTACAAGTTGTCTAAGTCTAATCTGTCCTTCCTGTTCTTGAATGTAACCAGTGGTTTGCACCTTCTTGGAAGTGATTGTTAGAATTTTGAACGAGATTACCTACTTGAAAGGTTGTCTTGATTTAGATTGAGTTAGATGGATTTTCTTTAACCAGTGAAAGAATTTTTTGATTCTAAGCATTAGAATTTTTTTTTCTTTTTTTTTTTTAAAATGAAGCAATATGAGAATCCAACTGCTTTGTGATCCCGAGGATGTTTTTGCTGTGGTTGCTGTATAAAATCACTTTGAATTGCTAGATATTTGGTGGTTTGCCTTAGTAACAAGCAGCTTTTTACATTATAGGAAGCAGTTGTTTCATTGTTGATGGGAAATTTAATAATTACAGAACTTTCATTTAAAAATGAGCTTTTTAAAAAAAAAAAAATGGTCTTGATACACTTTCCATTTAGATAGCAAGGTAGTAACTACCTTAAAATACAAGTTAAACATGATAAGGGAAAAATTTACATTTTTACACAAAGGCTTAACAAACTTCTGTGTACGTAACAATGTATTGCGTCATGGTCGACATTTGCTCCACTTTTATGCAAATCCTTTCGGGATTTATGATTGGCAAGCAGCTTTGACTTGCTTCATAGTATTACTGGTTTTTCATAATGGAGTCCTCTTTCATTATTATCATTTCATTATTTATGAAATATTAGGCTTGATATTGGTACAAATATATTGGTGAGTCTACAATCATGACTGATAAATATAATCCCGCTCTGTAGATGTACCCATTATTTAGAAGTGTAGCTCCAATCCATTTAAATATTTCACTATGATTCAGACCTTATTATTCTATACTCTTGTAGGTGGTCTTGTGAATTTGGTGGACAAATCAAAGATATTTCCTTGATTTTAGTGCACTTTTAAGAACCTGGCCCTTTTTATTTGAGCGATTAATAAAGCAACTTCCCTTTCTGGATCTGCACACACTTCAAGTGCATATTTGTCCTCTGGTCGATATGTTAAAACACTGATTATTTCCAAATAATCTTAAATGTCACACTATCATTTTAAGAGACTTGGGCACAGCCTCATTGGCTGCAAGGTATTTCAATGCAGCAAGCCCTAAAGCCACCCTTGATTCGGCGTCTTCTCATGAAGGGGAGTTCTTATATCTTTTTCATAAGCCTGTAGCAAAGTTGCCCTATGTCTGTGGGGAATGGGATCATGAATATTGTGTTAACCCAGAAAAGTTAAAATCCATGCATGCTTCCTTGTTCCCCTGATCCCCTCAGCTTTTGTTGTTGCATTGGCCAATTGTACCCGAGAAGAGATCAAGGGGACCCCTGTCGGTTGTGGATTATTCCTTTGTAGCGCCGCCACTGTAGGGGATAGAGGATTAGAAAAGTGCAGACAGTGGATGATGATGTTACAGGAAGTTCGTTTTCAGCACACACAGCAGATTAATGGTTAATCTGGAGTATTTTCTGTTGAATATGTTTAAATATTTGTTGTAGGTATTGTCTATTTTTTTTTTCCTATATTTTGCTTTGTTTCAAGGATGGAAGGAGAGATGGGTGCCCATCAATTCTGTGCCCACTGTAGGCTCAATTTCAATTAGTGCAGCACGATGGGATTATGCTTCCTATTTATTTTCATATCATATACATAGACAATTAAGACTGGAATTGCCTTTACCCAGATGATGAATTTTCATAATGTTTACATGTTTTCCCTGCAGTGGGAGGGTGGGGTGCGAACAGATTTAGAAGGCACTGCAGCTCAGTGAATATAGCACAGAATCCTTATTGCTGCTGTTCCAGTAATATTGTCAGGGTTTCTATGTGTGTGTCAGAGCCAGTATTCTTAGACAGATGTGATTTCTAGGGGCTAGTCTGCATTGTGCATAATCATCATACATCTTGTGTCTTTTATTTCTGCAGGAAGCCATGGACCTCGAGGCTGGGCAGCCTTATACCCAGAATGTGCCGGAAACAACCAATCACCTGTGGACATTGCAGATGAACAAGCTCAGATTTCTCAGGAGTACCTGAAGCTGGAGCTTGACAAGTTCAACACAGAGTCCTCCAACCAGACCACGATGAAGAACACTGGAAAGACAGGTTTGCAGTAGAGAATTTGTTTATCCCTCATTCGAAAAGCAATGCAGCAGCAATACCAATCATCTTTAATTTCCACGACTGCTATTTTGAGACATGACATGTGATGGTTACACAGTCAGGGAAAAAATGATTTGAACCCCAGCTGATATTGTAAGTTTGCCCACTAACAAAGAAATGATCAGTCTATGATTTCAGATGTGGGTTTATTTAAACAATAACCATAAAATCCAGAAAAATGCATTTCAAAAAAGTTATAAATTAATTTGCATTTTCATGAATGAAATAAGTATTTGCAAAACATGCTGTAGTACTTGGTGGAAAAACAATTGTTGGTAATCATAGACGTCAGACCAGTCTTATAGTTGGTCACAAGTCTTGCACACATCTCAGGGGGGATTTTGTCCCACTCCTCTTTGCGGATCCTCTCCAGGTCATTAATGTTTCGTGGCGTGTTTGACAACTCGAACCGTCAGCCCCCTCCACAGATTTTTGATGGTATTTGATGGGGCAATGGTGGCTCAAGAGTTGTCAGTTTGTCTTGTAATCGAAAGGTTGCCGGTTCGAGCCCTGGCTCCGACAGTCTTGGTCGCCAGTGTCCGGAAGCCTCGCCTCTGTCAGTGCGCCCCAGGGTGGCTGTGGCCATAATGTAGCTTGCCATCACCAGTGTGTGAATGTGTGTGTGAATGAGTGGATGACTGAATGTAGTGTGAAACGCTTTGGGGTCCATAGGGACTAAGTAAAGCACTGTACAAATACAGGCCATTTACCATTTACCATATTAAGGTCTGGGGACTGACTTGGCCACTACAAGACCTTAATATGCTTCTTCTTGAGCCAATCTTTTGTTGCCTTGGCCGTGTGTCACTGTCATGGTGGAATACTGACCCACGACCCATTTACAATGCCTTGGCTGAGGGAAGGAGGTTCTCACTCAAGAGTTGACATGGCCCCATCCATTCTCTCTTTGATGCGGTGCAGTTGTCCTGTCCCCTTGGCAGAAAAACACCCCCAAAGCATAATGTTTCCACCTCCGTGTTTGATGGTGGGTAATGTGTTCTTGGAGTCATATGCAGCTTTCTTCCTCCTCCAAACACGGTAAGTTGAGTTGAGGCCAAAATAGCTTGATTTTGGTCTCATCTGACCACAGCAATTTCACCCAGTCCTCCTCTGAATCATCGAGATGTTCAGTGGAAAAGTTGAAACAGGCTTGTACATGTGCTTTGTTGAGCAGGGGGACTGTGCGGGCACTGCACGATTTCAGTCCTTCTCGGCGTAGTGTGTTGGTGACTATGGTCCCAGCAGCCTTGAGATCATTGACAAGTTCCTCCCAAGTAGTTCTGGCCTGGTTCCTCACCGTTCTCATTATCATTGAAATGTGCAGGGCTCGCAAAATCGCTAGCCCGAC